CAGCAGGAACAAAAAGACGTTAGAAGGTACGCACCCTCTTGCTATGAGCTGGGTTCTCCTGGTCATCTGTAATCTCTTCTTTCTCTTCTGCTGCTTTTTCTTCTGGATTGTCTATTGCCTTTAAGATAGAGGAAATACTCAGCTGTATTCTTAAGCTCTAAGAAAAATCAATCCCTGTTTTTTGGCTGGTAGCTTAAAACTCTCTAGAAACAATTTCTAGTGCTTTATAGTGTTACTCATGTGGGGCTACATAGTAAACACAGATGATAAATCTCATTCACTGGACTGAAACCTGATAAGTACCTGAATGGATGTTCTTGACACTGAAAAAATTATAAAAAGATAATGAATGAAAGCACACCCACCTTGATATGAAGGTTATTAAGTGTTAATATAGATTCCCTACATAAAACAACATGTGGCAACCTGGGATCCTCTTCATCTGAAGAGGATCAACACCAAAGCAAGAGCCTCTGACCAGGGGAGATTACCTCATGGTCACTGGATACAATTACTTTCTCAGGAATTTGCTCTGGCTGCTGGTTGTTTTCCTCTTCTGGAGCCTCATTCTGCTGCTCCATCTCTAGCTCTTTCCGTCGTGCTTTTCTACGTCTTGTCTCTGCTCCGATGGTGGGTAGGCTTGGAGGAGGTGGAAGTGGCGGTTCTGCAGCATTGGGATTCCTTTTCTGTATAGGGCAATTCCGGTTCCCCTTGTGACATGCACAGTCCACTTTATAATTACTGCTCCAAAGAAACAACCAAAAGTGCCTGTTTCAGTACCCCTGAATACCAGTTATATTACCCATTCATTCTCTTGAAATATTAGTATAGTAATTTACTCTAGTTTCATCTTTGAACAAGGTAAATAGTCATTAAGAAAGTCCTATAAATTCTTTCAACATTCTGTGTTCCTCTATATAACGCCAACGCTTCCCCTATATATGGTCAGTGGAAAGGAAATGAAGTCCCCACTAAATTCAATTCTCCCAACTGTCTACGCTATTTAGTGAATCAGTGACAGACTCTGCAGTGGCTGTACCCTTCTCCATGTCCTCACTTTTATCTACTGATTCCCTACTTATTATTAATACCTTTTCTTCTTGCACCTGTGCCCAAACATCAATTGCCACATAGCCCCTGTTTGCCTGAAAGGACCAAGGGAGAAAAGCATCCATTTTACAAAACCCATCACATAATCACCAATGATTTGCCATCTGTTTTTCTGCATTGCCATATACAGCTACATTACATGGCTTGAGTGGATGGAGCAAAGCTTTAAATTCTCATTCTATATGATCCCTGGTACAAGTGCTGTGTGCATAACAATAGATACTACTGCAATTTCTACGAGTGTTTCATACATACACTTTTTGTTATGCTTGCTACATAGAGGCAGAGGCCAAAACACCCTTGGTTAGAAGACTGGTAAGCAGTATCACACTATGTAGCTGTGTGTCTTAAAAAAACACCCTCAGTCTGTCTTTCCCTCCACAATTTCTAGGCAGAAAATGCATTACTCATGGAAAGATTAGGTTTAAAAAAAAAAAAAAGAAGCAAATGGCAAGGCACAAAAGCAGACTGAACAGAATAGCTTAATCTGTAAGACAAGCAATTCATGTTAGGAAAGGTTGTGGAAATCTTACCAGTTACTGTACTCATAGTCAAATGCTATGGTGACCTCAGCATCCTTGGTGATGGCAGACACAGCATAGATACAGAGGTGAATCATCCCATCTGCAATCATGTGTCGCACCTGTGTGAACAAGGCTTATGGTTATGATTTATCACAAAGACCAGGAACTCTCCATAAGAGGGAAAAAACCTTTTACCAAAATGATATCTCCTCACTTAGAGTTAATGGTAGTCTGTCATTTAACTCCATCATTTCATTTGAAACTATCATATAGTAATTGAAAATTTATGATACTTCTTGAAATAAATGAAGAAATCTTGAGACGTTAGCAATCAGGGTCTGCTCTACATCTTTTTTTTTTTTTAAATAAATCTATTTATTTTTGGCTGCATTAGGTCCTCACTTCTGCACGCGGGCTTTCTCTAGTTGTGGCAAGCGGGGGCTACTCTTTGCTGTGGTGCGTGGGCCTTTCACTGCAGTGACTTCTCTTGTTGCAGAGTGCGGGCTCTAGGCACGCAGGCTTCAGGAGTTGTGGCACAAGGGCTCAGTAGTTGTGGCACATGGGCTTAGTTGCTCCGCAACACGTGGGATCTTCCCAGACCAGGGCTTGAACCCGTATCCCCTGCAATGGCAGGCGGATTCTTAACCACTGTGCCACCAGGAAGCCCCTGCTCTACAGCTTAAAGCTGTTTTCAGTTGCACCAGAAAATTAAAATTCCTTAAGTCTGTAAGAAAAGCTCTGTGGATTTTCTTGCTGCATTTGATGTGGTTGCACTCATTATGCACCAAATATTGAACTTTAGAAATGTCTAGAATCTCTCTCACAATCCTATTAGCTAAAATCTAAAAAACTGCAACCACACACTTTCGTTTTGGCCCAATAATAAAATCTTTTATATGGCAATTCTTTAATATAACCTCACTGACTTCTTATCCAGTTTAGCTCTTTCTCTTTAGCAAACGCTAACATGCTTTTGCCCATTTCTGCCTTCTCTAAAGAAAATCCATTCCTTGCCCCTATCCTGTGAGAATAAATGCATTATTACTTTTGTTTTTCATCTCTTACAACGAAAGATCATAACCATTATCTACAGACCTTAATCTGGGTGAAGTTTTCAGACTGCTTCTTCAGTTGACTTGTCCTTTTGGTGGTTCCATTCAAAGAGAAATTGCTACAGAAATCTTACCTCTGCATTTGGTGTACATGATCTTCTGATGAACCGAGCATCATTACCGAAAGTACGTGCATCCACACACATCTCTACACCATTGAATTTTGAGTAGAACAGCACAAAGGGGTATGGTCTAGGGATATAATTAAAATTCCTGTAATTCTCAATACAAATAAAAAGGCCACCCCATGATTTCAAATATGAAGCATATGCTGACAGAAGAAGCAGTAGTCCTTTGCAACGCCTACACTTGGAAAACATCACATGCTTGTCTGCTTCTGATTAAAGAATAAGCACAAAGCAAGGAATGCTTCGCTTGGAAAGGAGTCATCACCACTTTATACGTTAAACAATTTGCAGGTTTATTTGCACTTCTCTACAAATAGCAGAGAGGCGTGAGCTTATCTGAGCTGTAATCTTTTCCCCCAAGAGCATCCCATCAACCAGGATGGTTTTTACAGCCATATGCTCAGCCAGGCCTACTTTAGCCCTTACTACTCAATGAATGGTGCTCTTACTTTTTGAAGAAATGTCCATTGACCTCAAATTGCTGCCGTAACATGACTTTGCCTCGATACTCTATTATAAGAGTGTCCAAAGCCAAATCTCTTGCAGCCCTCAGGATCTTTCGGTGCTTCTGAACACGAGTGACTCTTCCCAACTGTAGCTGAATAAAATCAGAATATTAACATTAGATAATATCAACAGCAGCCTAGCAGACATTTAAAATATTTCTTAATTGAGGAAAAGCCGGCAATATTTTTAGGTTTTATTTGTATATGTTACTTAGCTCGATGATCAGACATTTTAAAATATGATAAAACCTTAGTATTTCTAGGAAACAGGCTCCATCTAGTGAACCTGCCACCCCCCCAATCCTCAAAGACAAGAAAAAAAAAAAAAATCTAAGAAAAATATATGATTAAAATTTTAGTGGCTCTATGTGTAACGTAAGAGTCTAGGTTTAGGTTTCTATTAATCTAATAACTCCTACTGAGACTGTATAAAATTTCCTACCCTAATTTATCTATTTTTAATTAATAAAGATACGTAGTTTAAAAACATGTATCCGAACAGTTTCCAGTTACTGTAACTTGCTTTTAGTTAAACATGCTCAATAGCTGGCTAATTTGTTATTCTAAGGCCATTTGAAAGAAACAGTAATTCCAAAATATGTCCTTTTCCTGGGTTCTTAAAATCTCAACTACTGGGCTTCCCCGGTGGTGCAGTGGCTGAGGGTCCACCTGCTGGTGCAGGGGACACGAGTTCGTGCCCCAGTCCGGGAAGGTCCCACATGCCGTGGAGCTGCTGGGTCCGTGAGCCATGGCCGCTGAGCCTGCACGTCCAGAGCCTGTGCTCCGCAACGGGAGAGGCCACAGCAGTGAGAGGCCCGCATACCGCAAAAAAACAAAAAACAAAAAAACAACAACATAAAAAACCTCAACTACTTAGGGAGTCTTTAACCGTTTGATCCTTACCTGCATTTGGGAACCAATAACTGTATTATTACAGGCCAATTCAGTCTTATTAATAGTGTCTAAAATAGCAGGTTTGCCCACAAATTCCTTGCTAGAATGTAGATGTTGTTCAAGGGCGTTCTGTACATCTGCACTGTACTGATTAGTGAAGGCTTCTTCATACTGATCAGTCCATAGTCTTATCCGATTTTCCCATCCCTCAGTTGTATTCTCATCTAAATTCTGTGCTTCAGAAGGAGAATTCTGTAGAGAACAAAGGTCAAGTAGGTTAGGAGAGTCCATAAAAGGGCAGGGGTGGGTGGGTGGGTGGGTGAGGTGGGGCAGGCTGAATATCCAGAGAAGATGAGTTTTCACTTGGCAGTTGGTGTGCCATAAGAGTAATGGCCTGGGAGTCAGGATCTGGCTGCTATCATGGTTTCATTACCAGTGAGCTGTGAGGTTCAGCTTCCTCATTTATAAAGTGAGAAATTAATCTGGATCGCAATTCCATCCCATCACTGTCATTTTATGACCATTTTTAAGTCATAAAAATCAAACTTATCAGAAGAATGACATCAAGTTCATAAGAAAATCTTCATAAAAATGAACAATACAGACACCTTAAAATATCCATATTGCTTAAATTTCAATACTTATCAAACAACAGTGTGCCATCTCAAATTGGTAGTTTTACTAGCATCCAGGAGAATGTTTTTGTGTGACTTATTATTTTTAATGTACAATTAATACATGTTCATTCTAAAAATACATGTGAACCAAATAAACAAATAAGTAACTCATACTCTTGCCTCCCATAGAAAAAGCTATCGTTTGGAGTCTATCTTTCTAGCACTCTACTTCTGACATTTTAAAACAGCCACCCTCTGTAGAGGTGAGGTGGGTGGAGGGGCGTGGGTAGGGGCAGTGTAGGAAATGCTGAGAGATACTGTGCTATATACACCTCTTTCAGAAAACCGCTGCCCTCTATGACAACACAGTACTGAGGAAAGATTATTACATCTCACCAAAATCATCCTAAACAGTTTTATATGTGCTTGTGCTACAGAGACACAGCTGAACTCGGATACATGTTCTCCTCCACTGCGTTCAGGACTTAAGGTGTCGTCAGAAAACAAAACAAACGTGTGATGATGCCACACTAGTGACAACTAGAAGGAAAAGACACTATAGTACCAAAGCTACCTGCAAATCCATGTCGACTCTAAACTTGCAAAAACAGGTATGAAAAAATTAAATATAGTTTCCACAAATGACAGAGAAAACATTTATACCCATTATAACAATTACTTTCTTTCACTTCTGTGACACTAGTTTTGATTGACTATTGTCTACCATCCTTCCCCCAAGGAACAGGGAAATCAAAGGAAAAAGTTAACACCACTGTTTTCCACATTTGTCACTAGAGTCCAAAAGAATGAACAATAAACAAGGGATGTAACAAACACCTAAGGCTAACACAATGAGAACAGACTACCACCAGCTTGAGGTGTCAGTAGCAGCTGAACAACAGAAAAGTAGAAAAGCTGAGGCTTAAGGGTGTTTATAAGACTGGGGATTAGGGGTGCCCAAATAGTATTCCCAGGTTTAAGCACCCAGTAGTGATCACTGAACTTATAACTTGTTAAACAGTATATACTGGAAGCCTCTGCCATAGTTTTAGCTACTGTTCACTAATATAACTGTATACTCTGCTATCCCATTCTTCCAGGTACTGGAGACCCCATCTCACTGGGTTTAGAGCAGTGGTTCTCAACCAGAGGGGATTTTGCCACCAAGGAGACACTTAGTAATACCTGAAGTCATTTCTGATTAATACACCTGGGTGTGTGTGTTACTAGCACCCAGTAGGTAAATGCTAGGGATGCTGCTACACAGCCAACTGTAATGCAAAAGACAGCCCTGATCCCTACAAAGAATTATTTGGTTCAAATGTCAACAGTGTCGAGGTTGAGAAACCCTGGTTTAGAGCAGTCTCCAGTAGGGAAATTCAACTTTCGGGTTAAAAAAAGCCAAATGATAGGTTCTTCTCATTCTTAAGGTAATTGTTCCCACTCAGATGTTTGGTGTAGTTCTTACTAACAATTAATTCTGAGTACAAAATTTATAACTCAATTTAGAATTCTGATATGAGAATCAAAATAAACCAACTAGTACTATTTTTTTGGGGGGCGGGGCTACTCTTCATTGCCGTGTGCGGGCCTCTCATTGCGGTGGCCTCTCTCGTCTTGGAGCACCGGCTCTAGGTGCGCGGGCTCTAGAGCGCAGGTTCAGTAGTTGTGGCGCACGGGCCTAGCTGCTCTGCAGCATGTGGGATCTTCCTGAACCAGGGCTCAAACCCGTGTCCCCTGCATTGGCAGGCGGATTCCTAACCACTGCGCCACCAGGAAAGCCCCAGTACTTTTTAGTTATCTAAATTTTAACATGCTTATGGGGCTATCTGTCAACATCTCAAAACTGCAAGCAATATTTGGGGTTTACATGTAGTTTTCTGGGAGAGCCAATCAACTGCTTTCAAAAGGTTTCAAACCTCTGGAAGCAAGTTACAATAGTTAGCTGATAAAAGAGAAAAGGGCTTAACATCTGGGATCAGGGGCTACGTCTGCCCCTTAAACCTACTGAAGGTCCCCTCTAAGCAACTGTCTCCTTGCAGGAGATAGCTCTAACAAAGAAACAGTAATTGTGTTCCAAGATATCCCGGGATTCTGATAGTCTTGGGCTCTTAAGTCCTCTCCCATCTCTTTTACAGATATGTACAAATCTGTTTATGGGTATATGCAAGGTGAGGCCTTCTAATTTTATATAAAGTGCTACATGAGATCTTTCGAACATGAGTCATATTGGCGTTCCGTGTGTGTGTGTGTGTGTGTGTGTGCGCGCGCGCGCAGGTGTGTGCGCGCGCGCAGGTGTGTGCGCGCATAAATCCTAAGAAAGCATCTCTTCACTAACAAGAGTTTAATGTTTACCACAGAACGGTCAACAGGAAAGATCCTGCTTTTATATCAGTTACACATTTAGGCATAAGTATACTTACGGAATTACATTCAACCTTAATTCTGATTAAATGCTTTGAAGCCATTAAGTAATGGTTTGGGAGGTATGCTGTCCTTCTATATATACACATAGGTAAAGGAAGATACCAGACAGTATATTCAAATCTCCTTTGGGCAAACTCTTTCCTTATCACCTAGTAACTGAAAGTCCCTTTAAACCATTGTACATAATTTCTCTATTCTCCAACCACTACCCGAAATCATGCCTCATAAGCTCTTTTATTTGATAACCGAAGAAAAGAAGCACACTAGCATCACCCGAGTCTTCTGTACCAAACAGATATGCCAGGAGAAAACAGCTCAAAAGTAAGTAATTCCAGTAAGAATAATTCTTATCAAAACTACTACCTTCCTACTGATGAAATTTATCCTTCCAACTGGTGATTAACGCCTACAGGGTGCTAGGGCGGGTGCACAAGAGATGCTCTATCACCAGAAAATCCTCACTCCTGAGGTGGAGGCCAATCACAATGATGGAAAACATCAGCCTCATTTTGTCCGGCAAAATGTCACTTACGCCCACCCCGAGAGAAGCAGCTAATGAAAAACCAATAAATGAAGGCTAATTACAGAAAGGGAAAACATTTCAGAAAATGGTCAAGAAAATCTACTTTGGAGAAAGGCTCTATGAAAACTGAATGGCAACAATTACAAACTAACGAAAAGCAGGGTCCAAGATTCCCAGACCATCAATGTCAGGAAAGAAGCTGACCAAAATGCAAGATCACAGTGAAGTAAAACACAGCATCAGGGAAGAATACCCCTTACCTTCATCCGCAAGGACTTCCGGGATCCCTCTCGAAATGCCTATCCCAAAGAGGAAAACAAGTAGAACAAAACAAAACTTGGTACCAAGAATGACAGTTATACCTATCTGAGACTAAAACTAAGGCAAGAACTAGTGTTCTAGTCTGTCCCCTTTACCCTAGGTAGCAAACACAATAGAATTCCCCACACTATTATCAAGAATAGGGGTAGCACATGGCCAGTGAACTCTGAGGCTAATTCCAATACTTTCCATTGCGGAATTAGGTAATAAACAGGGAAGAGCATGCATCACTTAAATCCATGTTAAGTAAGGCTGCAGATTTACCAGTTTTGAAATTAAGAAGGAAACAAAGACCAATCCCCTTAACAAGGGGTGGGCAAGTCACCTAGAAGCAACAAAGTTGCCGTGATGGGGAAGAAAGAACACAAAACAGAAGAGATTTCTTCTGGAGACTTTTTAGTTGAGAATACAGGAAAGTGACCACAACACTGAGGAAGCCTAGACCATTCAAGAGATGTTTCCTGAATTTTTTGTAACAAGGGAAAAACAATCAACCAACGACATGAAGTGGGCATGTACCAGGACAAGAATTTCAGACTGGGTTTTGGGGTTGAGGAGGTGGGAGATACTGTAAGGACAGTGGAAGCCTAGACTGGAGGCTGCAGCACACATGGGCTTGTGCCAGGTGGGGCTGAGATTTCATACCTGGGATGGGGGCTGGAGCAAAAGAAACTCTGTGCCAGTTGTGATGATATGGAATAAGAGAGGTTGATCTATGTGTTCATAATACAAATTAGCTGATTTGTGCAAGCAGAGCAAAAGTGGCCCTTCAAACATCTGGATCAAATTTCTTAAAAGAATTCTGGTGCATTCTTCATCCAAAATTTGGGCTATTTCAGACACATTTCTATTTGAGATAGTTTTACCCTTCATACCTTGATTTTCTTCGTCTTTGGTGCTGCACGACCCTTTTCTGGACTCTTTTTTCGCTTCTTGGGTTTGGTTCTTCTAACAGTTAAGGTGATGCTTGTAGGTGTGTGCTGTGTTGCTGTATACAACACAGTGGAAGGAGAAAGCTCCTCATCCCAGCTTTCTGTTGCACTGCTATCCCCACCTGAAAAAAGGTTATTTCATAGTTCATGTTGTACAAAAAAACCTCATAAATACAATAAAAGCAGCTTATTCCTTTCGATCTAGCCCATACCCAGTAAGTTATTACTTCTACTATTAACTCTATTATCTGTAGAACATATACCTACATTCCATATAGAAACAAGATTCTTTCTGTACCATTGGCATTAAGCATAGAAACCCTGTTCTATATCATGTATTTCTACCCTTGAATTCAGTCCCCAAGCTCCACTGCCTCAATGTATATGTAACATAGAAAAGGATGAGTGTGTGTGTGTGTGTGTGTGCGCGCGTGCGCACACGTGTGCACGCCCGTGCATGCTCACAAGGAATATTTTGATTACTATAGGGCTAAAATTGTTGACTCTGGATACAATTAATTCACAACAATAGAATTACAATGGTCTTGAAAGGACTTCAATCACTGTCCATGAAAAGAGCTGGGGACCACGGGAACTTACAAGAGGGGTTCCTGAGATGAATATTAAAACCACAAAATAGTATATGTCAAAATATGGTCCTAACCCATCTTTGGCTCACCTGATATGTTGTCCTGCTTCCGCCGATGAAGTCTAATAACCTTCCCCCTGCTCATTCCCCTAAAGAGGGAAAATAAACTTAAAGTAGTCCTTCCAACAGCATGCAGCGCATCATCACACACATGGGAGAAGTATCTCTGCATATACTACCCCCTTCCTCCCACCTACCAAATGTTTCCAGGACATTAAATTTCATATCAAATTCAATAGCTTTAACATCAATCTCTCATTCCTTGTTGTCAGCAATTCTCACCTAGTGCAGAGAATTCGAGCCAAGGAGCACTAAGGAATCATCTACATTAACAAACACAAGAAAGAATACTTTGAGCTTTTCCCTACTAATAAGAAACCCTAATCCCAGCAACCCAGGGCTGGATTTAGATGGAACACGATCTTACCTGCACTTGTCACAGTTGAGAAGGAAGCCATCCTGAGAAAGACCACAAGGACACCAGGTAGGAACAGTCTCTCCTTCAGAGTTCGGGCTGTCTCCACAGCGTTCCTCTACGGGCGACGGCAGGCCATTCAGGTCAGAACGGGGGATGATCGTCTGGACAGGGGGAGAAGCAGGAGGTGTCGGAGGAGGAGGGGCTCCGTAATTATGATCCTGAAAATAAGATTTTTTAAATCAACAGTGTCCAAACACTGGCCCCTCTCTCCCCTAAAGTATGGTACATATGGAAAGAAAGAAGAAAGTAGTACCCTTCGTTTTTTGGCTTCAACCAGGAAAGTGATAAAACAAAATGCCAAGGTCAACTGGGACATAAAAACAAGAACAATGATGCAGGGCTAGACGTCCGCTGGAGGCAGGGAAGTGCAAAAGGGGCAACTTCGTCATGCTGCATATAAACATTTCAAGAAAGTCACAATGTATAAGAATGGATTACACTCCAGGAAGATCACTGCTCTGGAGAGAAACAAATGCATACTCACAGCATAAGGCAGTCCTCGACACCCATGTCTCTGAGTGGTCCCATAATTATGAGTGGAATACACGCTCTTCTCATTAACTGCTGGACTAGCCTCCACAGATTCAGGGCTGCACAAAGGCGAAAAGCAACGCATGATAGCATAACACCTAATCTTCCCTTAAACTAAGACTTAACTTCCCATTCTAACCCCTCCTCTTTCCACAACCACCAGCCACTAGAATAAGAGAAAGAACTCAGTGAAACAATCTGATTAACATAACTAAGCCTATAAATAACAGTAGGAGTGTCATTAAATGTGGATTTGTGTGTAACATGAAGCCAGTACAGGCAGATGTCTCAAAGCAGGCACCTGGGATACAAGGTGTCCCTAATGACAAACACAAACGTACCAGCTGAGCAGGGAGTTTCCCCTAGAGAAGCCACTCTGGGCTGGTTTAGACTCAGAACTATTCTTCTTAATTGGATCTCTTAATACTTCCATGAAACCTCACATGACATTTGCAGTGAGTGAGATGATGAAAGTGCCTTCTGCACTGCCCCAGGGACCAGGCCCTCTTCCATTCACTACCAAGACAGGATACCCTGAAGAAAGTACAGGTAAAAACAATGGCATCTTATATTTATCATACCTCTCATCTTGATGAACCCCCAAACACCTTCCAAATATTAGAGTAATAATTTCTCATCTACCAATGACATGCAAGCATATCAAGGACACAGTTATTTAATAGCTGCATGATAATACCATAGAACTTCAAACTATTCAAAACTGTACTCAGAAGTTTAGTCTAACGACAAATAACAACAGTAGTATTGGCTACCATTTTGAGTTACCCATTATTTGCAAGGTGCTTTATATGTATTAATTCATTTACTCTGCCACTACTATGATAAACAGCACCCCATCTTTACAGAACATGAAGTTGAGGTGGTGAGATTATATGACTTCACCAAGGTTACCCACTGACAGAGCCAGGATTTGAAACAATGTCTGACTCCAAAGTCTGTGCTCTTTCCACTATGCCTAATTGGTTTGGAAACCACGATAACTTTCTTCTTTTAAAGAAAATTACATAAGATCTGAAGTAACCAGGCTTAGTGAGAAGCTTGGTTGAGTATGTTTTTGTACCCTCACTGAGTGGAAAGTAAACTGTTCAAGCACAATTTATTAAAATAAAATAATTATAAATGTGTTCAAATTTAGAAATTTAACGTAAGCTCTTACTTGATAATAAAAAGGCATAGGTGGCTAAGGACAAAATTCATGTTTTGGGGCAAAAAGAACTTTAACTCTGATTACTTAGGTACCTGGTTAGGTTTTGGAGAATACTGAAAGATAATTAACGAATGCAATTGTATGATTTGCAGAACTGAATAATGGGTTATCTGTCATTTAAATTAACCAGCACTGAGACGCACAAATCAGAAACTCCAAAGACACATGTAACTCAGCCTTAGTGGTGGATCAAAGGGTCTTTTAGGGAATCAAATAATGAATATTGTTTGCTTAAAGTAATGTACATTTTTCCTGCTTAGAAATACACATAATGTAGGACTTGGCAGGAATCAAGTGTGCAATTCAATGTGGTGTAATGTCAGCTGAGAAGTGAGGGATAAAAGAAAATTCTGAGATATGTATCCAACTCACCCAGTTATTTGCTCCAAAACTGTAAGAAGGGATCTTATAAATAACAGCAAAGGTAATTTCTAGGTGAAGAAGAACTTTAGACACAGGCAAGTATTCTCTGTTAGTGAAGTGCATGCATTTTATTACTTAAGAATGTCTGCAAGATGGGAACTGGGCGGGGGTAGGGGAATACATCAAGAATGCAGGTCAGTATTCTTGAGAAATAGATGATCTGAACGTGGCTCACTGAGAGGCAATCAGCTCTGAGTATTAGGAAACAGGTGGGGTTTCTTAAATAAACCAAAGGCAAACAAGCATTAATAAAACGAAGGTAGAATTTAGTTTCTATGATGGACAGGTTAAGAGAAAGTAATAACTTTACACAACATTGTTAATTTACTAGATAAACAAGTATTTTAAAGAGCTGTACATATTTTATACAAGAGATTTTGTACCACTGAACACATGGGGTGAAACATGATAGCTATTTATTAGAAATGGAATTTGGTTTTTTTGGACGGGAAAAAGGAAAGTGGCATGAAATAAAAGATGGCCATGGAGATGGAGCTATGCCGGTTGTATCTTACCCATCTCCATACTGGGTAAATATGAACATATGCACTTCATGTGCAAGTCTAGGGAATAAAAATAAAATGTATATTGTGTAGGTTAAAAGGCCATCCCACTGCACAATACTCTGTAGTCAAGCATAGCATTTAATATATTGCTATGCACGCCAAATACTAAAATTTAAGCTTACATCTTTTGATGAGGAAACTTTGTAATTTCCATACTGGTTACTGATTAAATACATAGTTACATGCTGACAAATAACTACAGGATTTCCTAGGATATTCCCTGACATACAGAAACATATATCAGCTCTTACCTATATTTTAAAATATCGATAAAAATTTTGGAGTGTTAGGATTGCATCTCTTTATTAGCGAATGATTTTATGCAAATCTAATTATAGCCTTTCTTCCCCTATGTTTGAACTTCTATGACAGCTAGGCACATACACAGAAGCCATGCTTACAAAAGATATACTCCATCAACTCTGTTCCAAGTATAATATGCAACCTGCTGTTATAACACTACCTCTTAGAAAATGTCTTTAATTCATTTATGGCAGGATTGTAAATTCAGAAAAGTCTTTGCTTCTATTGTTACATCTAGAGGTTTTCCTACAAATATACAAAAAAACCAAAAACAACACATAATGCATACCAGTGCCATCAGATTTAAAATCCCATAAGGTAAGGTCTAGATCTTTTATTTAGTTGAGGATGTTGTCCTTAATACCAGGCTTAACCTTAGAGTGCCCAGAACAGTGGAATATGCATGACAGTGACATATGCACAGTGAAGCACTAACAAATATCATCAGTAATTTAACAGAGTGGTATATAAGCTAATTGTTGACATTCTCTTGCTTTATAGGAATACTAAACGAAAAACTATGTAATTAGCTAAGACCACAGTATCAGAAATCTGTCTGGAGATTATGGATGAAAATGTTTCAGGAAAGAGAAACACTGCAGTCAAACTTTTAGGCCAGAAGTATTTTTTCATTCTACAATTACTTCTGGACTCCCTAGCAACATTTATGGGCAGTTAGCTCTGTACTATGGGGAAAATCCCTGTTTTAAGAATAATAGCTTTAGGTCTTTTCCTTAGCTACTAACCCCAAACTCGTTGAGTGAATCTTTTCGTTGAAATTTCTGACAAATGTTAATGTTGTTTATATATACAGTCTGTCAGCCAATCCATATAGGAGGCTAGTGGTTGACTTTATACAAATTCATTAACACTACACAATTACCTATGAATGCAGGAAGATTTTTAAGTACTCTATTTGGGAAACAGTTGTAAAATTGGTAGTCTCAGCTATTGGCATAACTACATGCAAAAACACAAAAACAAAACAAAACAGGAAAAAAGGCCCTGGAAGTAACACAATCCACCCTTCCCTACCCCCCCCCCGACCCTCCACCTTCCTTTTTACATGGGAATAAGGCCAGAACTGCTTTCAATTCTACACGACCCCAGAATATAATACACTGCTTCTTAGGGTAGCTTCATTTTAAGTCTTCCTCTTTAAGGAAGTCATGAAACAGTTAAGTTATCCTAGGTGGCTTTGTGAAGAAACATACATGCTCTTTACTAATATTCTCAGTCTTAAGGAAGAAAACCACTATTATCAGGGATGCAGTTGAACCCAGAGTTCTGGTACAGCTTCTTTACTTTGCTGAAGGGGAAGGAATCCCCAGGGACTGTGAGAATGGCAAGAGAAACAGGGGAATTAGAGCAACACCCACCTCACTCAAGAAGTGGCTGTGGGATCAAGAGTCTGAACTGGACCTGAACATATTCAAAACACCAGGATTTTTCCAGCCCAGACCCTAATCCCTGGTACTGCCTGGAATAGACTTGGCTTCTGGGGGTGTGCTGCCCCCTAGGCCCCTTGGGTCTCTTTCGCTGGACTTTCACATCCTGGTGTAGTGCCACTTCGTCTTGAAAGGTAGGGGGCTTCCACTTCCTTTCTGTAAGCAAGGAAGATTGGGTACAAGGGAGGTAAAAGGACAAGAGGGGGGGAATCTGTGAGCAGGGGGAATCTTGGACAACTTAAAAGAGAAGGGATACAAAAGGCTAAAAAATGTTAAACTGTGTATATAAAGTTTTATAATGAAGGCCTACCTTCATTGCCATTTGGCATTTAAATTCTTCAAGAATTGGGAGTCTATTTTAGGGATTGGACTTTTTGACAAATTCTGAATTCCTAAAGCTGCTCTTAGCTGAAAAAAAAGTTTGGTACCACTGATTTTGAAGGTCCTCTTTCTAGGCAATGAATATTATAAAAACAGATGATACTAATTTCCACATTTTCTATCCCAAATATCAGAATGTCTAAGTAACCTGCCCATACAGCTGCAGCCCCTTTACTCTAGAACAATGAGAAGTACATAGGAAGAGGCCTTCAAGGAAAATCAGTTGGAGAGAACTCCTTATCCTTCATTCATCAGATAATCATTAACTCTACAGAAGCAGGTAGTGACATGTACTTATTTCAATCTTCCTGACCCATCAAAACAAATGAAAACATAATCACTACCTTGAAAATTTAATTCTATTAATTATTTACTCAGAAATCCCGCCCCACCAAAGTCTTTTCCTCCCGCTTCTAGTTCTTTTTTTCCTCCAGTTTCTATGGGGGAAAGGGAAAGGTCTAATGTCATTTACAATGGGCTAGGCTTGGGTTTAGAAAATACCACGTTATTTATTATTAGATGCCCACAAGAAATTTGTCTTCACACAAACTGGTAATGTATCTGCTACCTAGGAAGCAGGACTTACTCTGATCCAGCAGCCATATCTGAGTAGGATGTATCTGGTGTGGTGACTCCCAGAGGGATTGCAATGCTCATGACGTCCAACACAGCAGAGAGTGGAAATCACGGGGTCCAATTATCAGAGACTGGCCACTCTGAGAGTGGGGGTGAGCTGCAGAGCCTCAACCAACATGTTATGGACATGAGGAATCCTAGAACAGAAAAGGAAAACATCTAGTAACTAGGAAGTTCTTTGAATTTATTGCAAATACTACTGAATATTTTTCTATTTTTTGAACAATGCTTTTAAGGGATAAATATAAAACAAATACAAGGGATCAACATTGTCTCGTGTTTACTATGTTCTACATTAATGTTCCACAAAGTGAGGTAGCAAAAGTTATGCTCACTTTTCATTTCTATTTTAATTTTTTTCTTTTCAGATAAAGGGAAAGTAACAGTCTGCTCACCAATGAGCACATTTCTTCCATTCCACAACTGCTTATCAAAGAAAAATTTCTGACACCCTAGGACCTAACTAACAAGAAAGAGAACAGTTAAAAGAATTTACTAGTTTAATGTTATAGTTTAATGTTATTCCTTCCAAATTAAATATGATGATAAAAGAAATCAATTTGCTTATATTTGACTGAATAGCTGTTTCTTATTGCCTTCCTTTGTCATGGAATACTCTTTTCCTTCTTTTAAACCTTTTTAATAACTATAATTTTGGGAGAAGATGTAGTTAGTAATGATATCTGCAAGATAATATCCACTGCTAGGTATGAATAAAAACATAAACCACAAAGTGTACAGTTTCATGATAAAAATTAGAAAATTTTGCATGGAAAAGCAGTGAGGATACCTTGAGTTGGTGACCACAGCCAGCGGAGTTTGGGGACAGAAAGAAACAAACTTGGTGGTGTAAAGAAACAAAAGTAGATTAAGTAGATTAAGAGATTTGGAGGTATGGTGCAAAGGGAAAAAGTGTACTTTGATTTTACATTAGTGATTTTATAGTTCTGTAAAAAAAAACATTAAAAGAATGGAACACAAAGCATTTTATGTGGGAGGAAAGAAAGTCAATGTGACTGTTAAGGCCCAGGTTAATACAGATTTTTGCAAAAAAACTACAAAAAGAAGTCATGACTGATATACTGATTCATGGTAAGACAAGACAGTAGAAAATGGTTATTTATACTAAAAAAATTAAATCAAATGAAAACTATACCATATTAATTGAGTCAATACAGGGGATCAATGCAAATTTTAAAATGGTAGATGATCTCAGATGCTTGACTCTTATTTTGAAATATGAAGCAAATTAACATGGAAAAGAAAACCAATAGTGAACAGTGAATCAGGACAAGATTTTTAAGAACATGTAAAGATAATACTCTTCTGTATCATTATTTTACAATGCTAGGACAGCTATAAACTAAGCAGTCCTCCCTGGCACCTACACTTTGTTTTTTTTTTTTTTGCGGTACGTGGGCCTCTCACTGTTGTGGCCTCTCCCTTTGCGGAGCACAGGCTCCAGACGCGCAGGCTCAGCGGCCACGGCTCACAGGCCCAGCCGCTCCGCGGCATGTGGGGGCACCTACACTTTGAAAGAGCTGGATCTCACTAATGGACCTAGGACTCTCCAAATCCGGGTGTGGCAATATACCCGTTCCCACTCAACTTGAGGTAACATGTTGGACTTGAGACTGAAATGAAAAGGGCAAATCTTCCTATTGCTTCCTCACAGCTCATAAAACAAAAGTGACTAATACAACTTTCTGCCTTTGGGCCTATTTTACACATAAATGTTTCCTTTCCCTAACAATATAATCAAAGAGAGGAGAGCAGTACATTCTCTAATCCTCTGGGAAATAGAAATAAAATCTACAAGTAACAGAAGAGAGACTACTTATCAAATAAGCCCAAAAGGGCATTTTTAAACATTGGGGATTGTTGGTTACAACAATCCCCTATTTGGTATCACTGCATAATTCTCAAAAAAAAAAAAAAAAAAAAAAAAAAGCCCAGAGGCTACTTGGCTAAATAACCAGAACAGAGTCTAATAATGAGCATACTACCTTGACCAATACAGGAATCTGAATCATGTGTTATATTTCAGTAAAGAACCCCTCACTACCAATTACTCAACACCATTAAAAAATCCTGTCATAGCCATTACTGTTATATGCCCATAAAAAAATGTAGGTGTCTAGATAAAAGAAAACTTACAAAACTAAGCTGACAGTGGTTATTTTTCTGAGTCAAAAAAAGATATACTAAAAGGAAAAGATGGGAAAATCACTTCAGATAATACCTCCTTAATAAATGAATAAGTGATTAATACATTCTTTAATGAAATCTCAACCCAGCTAACTTGGATAGTTGAAAAATAACTTTAAGAAAGATTAAGTAGTTAATTACTTTCATGAATTCTTCCATTTCCCTTTTGTGGAATTTTACATGACCCCTTCCACTCTTCTGATGAAGGCATTTTGGATTAGCTTGGTTATCCTGTTCCAAATAATACTCTTATAATATTGGGTGTTTTTAATTAAAAAAAAAAAAAGATAACAAAACCTAATTTCTCATATGACCCCAAGACTAGTTCCTTTCCTAAATAACATGCAAAATGTAGCTATTAAAATGTTAACTGAAGAACTTCTAACAGATCATCTATATGCAGTATTTTACTGTAATTACCCTGGTTTTGTAAGACAAGACAATAGGCTCCTATTATAGTTTACCAAGCTTAGTAGTTATAGCAGTTACTAATTTATCACATAGTTGGAGATATGTCCTAGAAAGAATTGATAAGAATTAAAATCTCTAGGTGGAACAGTTTCAAAGTATCTTTTACTTGTTAATTTGTCTCTCTCTCTTCCTACCAAAGTAAAAACTCAATGAGGACAAGGATTTTTGTATTTTATCCTCTGTTGTAGTTCCACAGCCTACAACAGCACCTGGCACGTAGAGGGTATTTGAGAATATTTGCTGAATAAATTATGATCACTCATATCAAAATTACAGTTTTTAGCATTCATTGAAGTACAAAAATTAAAACAAATTAAAAGAATTTACTTGGCTCAGTCACCTTTTTATAGACCTCTGAATAGGAAGTCCCCCAAAATTATCTGCCAGTAGTTCCGAAGACCTAGAAAAAGTTGAGAAGCAAATCAGTATAGAAAGAAATAACATAGATGGACACATGGAATAGAATTCTACAGAAATAATATTTTAACGGTAATTGTTCCATTTAGTACTGTATCTTTGTCCTTTAACCTTGTTATCTTATTTTCCTGTAAAGCCAGAACCTAAATAAAGAGTAGAAAAGGCAATTGTCTATTTGAGTTAAGTGATATATATTGTCTCTGGGTAATACTTTTCTTTCCTTCAAATCAGAATTCTCTCCCATTTCCCAAACGATTCCTTCTTTTTATCTCTCCTAGGAGGTGCTTTTCTCCTCCTCTGACCCATTCTTAAATTCGGAGGCTTTTCTTTAATCAAATGTCAAATTTATTCTCCAGTCAGACAGGGACCTACCATGATCTATTAGAGTTCATATTAGTCCTTTCTTCCCCCTACTCGCTTGTCCTACTACAGAAAGAGTGACAAGAGGGAATCCATTTGTGGTCAACTACACAATGGAAAGCATGTAGAAAACAGAGCTTTAATTAGCTTTCTACACTCCAAAAAGAAAAGGAAAATAGGTGATGACATAGGACTTGGGGGGGGGGGAGTCAAATTTAACATTAGCCAGAAAGGAGTTTCAACATCTGAAATGTTATACCATACATGTGAAAAGAGCTGTGTGTGAGATTCCAGTTACCAAGCAGTAGAGAGTAAATGTTCTTTATGTTGATATCTTATGGATTTCTAATTTTTTATTAAAAATTGGGAAATAAACTATTCTTTAGAAACAATTTTAAAAGAGCATACTCAGAACCGTAAAAATAAAAGGTATGAAGGTAACAGTAAATGGAAGGAAGAAAAAAATTACACCAAGGAAGAAACAGACTCCTTTAGCAACAATAAATAAGAAAGAAAAACGGACAGGAGTAAAAAGAGAAATAAGTACATGAGTATACAGTAGGGGGAAAATGAATGCATTGGAATTTCGATTTCATTTCAGTTTAACTACATCAGACGCCCCAGGAACTGTAGTTAAGTTCTTGGACTCAGAAGCAGAACCAGCTTGACTCCCAGTACTGAGTACTCTTTTGAGAAGTCACCATTTACATATAGTTTCTAAGGAAAAGGCTTTTAAGAACGTGCCAGAAATAGTTTATAATTACCCGAGTCTTTTTAATTGAATTCAGAAATGGTCAATAGTCTCTGTATCTGCCATTCTGACAGTCTCTCCTCTATATGACTTGCTGAAAGCACAAGACCCATGTGATCTTTCAGGTCACTCTCAGAGAAAACAGACAAAAAGTGTTTTAAGAACAACTCCAACAGAGATTTCAGAAAAAGAAATTGCATCAGCCAGGTGAGCAGGAAGCAGCTGGGAAACAAGAGTCCAATAAACAGCCAATCCGATGAAAGAAATTCAGAACAAGTCTGCTTCAGTAATCCTGTGAAGAGGACTGGCAGGAAGAGGAGTGCCGCTTCAGAAAAAGAACAGGCCTCATATGCTTCAGACAGTCTTTGTACTGTGGCTGTGGACCTTGGCTATTCTCCCAGAAATGATGCAATCCTG